AGAATGCTGGTCTGTCGTCTCTATGGACTTTATCACTGGATCACCTGATTCCAATGGTTTTGATGCAATCTTGACTGTTGTCGACAAGTTGTCCAAGCGCCCGAAGTATCGTGCGTGCAACCGGACTGATGATGCACAGAAGACTGCGTATCACTTCTTTGATTGCGTTGTTCGCCATCACGGTTTACCATCGATCATCATCAGCGATCGAGATTCCAAGTTCGTCTCCAAGTTCTGGTCATCCTTGGCTAAGCTAATGGGAATTCGTCTGCACATGACAACTTCCTATCGTGCCCAAGCCGATGGACAAACCGAACGCCAGAATCTGATTCTGGAAGACGCTCTACGCTGCATGATATCGTACCACGGACGTGATTGGTCGGATAATCTCGGAACGATTGAGTATGATCATGCTACTCTCGTCAGCGCATCTACCGGTATGTCGCCCTTTGAAGTTGATACTGGACGCAAGGAACGGAATCCGTTGAATCCTTTGAGCAATCCCAGTACCATGACTCAAATTCAGCGTGGAATTGTTGAATATGCGAAACAGTTCCAAGACAAACGCCAAGAGATCATTGATTTGGCAAAGAAGCATCTTCTTCAAGCCCAAGAACGTCAGAAGAAATACTATGACAAGAAGCGACCATCGATCACGTTCAAGGAAGGAGACTTAGTCATGCTGGATACACGCCGCATTCCTTTCGCCCATGTGACTCAAGACATTGATGGGAAACGAGCTAAGCTCGCTGCTCGCAAGATTGGACCATTCGAGATTGTGAAAATGATCAACCCGAATGTGGCCAAGTTGAATCTTCCGCGAAGCATGAGTCGTCTGAACTCCACGTTCAATGTGGACGTGTTGAGTCATTACGTTGAAAACCCGTCGCGTTTTAAGACTCGTCCTATCCCAAAGGCCTCAAGACTGATTATTGACGACGACACTGGCGCAACGATGCACATCATTGAGAAGCTTCTTCGCAAGCGTCAATTCAATCGCAAACCTGAATGGCTTGTGAAATGGCACGGATTGCCAGATCACGAAGCAACCTGGGAGCGCGAAAAAGACATCTGCCATGTGTCGCAATGGAAGGTTCTCGTTTCCGACTTCAACAAGCGTCAACGAGAAGTCAAGTCCGGGAGGACGTAACGACGCACCAACGTCACAGCCAGCGATGGCCATGACGTTGGTACCAATGCGTCCTACTTTCTTCTATTTTCTTCCTACTTGTCTTTGCTGACTGCCAACTGTCTTCTTAAGTTGCCAATGAGCGGCCAGGCAGACACACGCCTGACCGAAAGGCAATCACCATGTTTGGACGAGTATTGCCAAACATGGAACTTCAATGACAGTCATTATTTTTCATTTGAATTCACTATGGAGATTCTGACCCGGTTCAAATGAACCGCGGTTCACTACTACGCTACGCTACTTCAAGATTCGACTCAAGGACTACTTAGAATCTAGTATAGTGAAATGCATATACTTACATAGGATACCAAGGGAATGCCACTTCCTTGTAGCCGACAAACAACTAACCATTTCAATCTGACTTTCCAATTTACCTTCTTCGAGGCACATCAACTGCCTCCTACGCCTTACCTTCGAGCCCCCATCGTTGGACTCTCGCCGCCCTCCTCCGCTTCGCTCCTCGCCACGCGACTCGTTTCTCGTCGCTGTTCCTCTGCGCCGTGCTCTCACCAGTCGTCACAGCGTGGGCCTTTTTATTATAGATGAACGATCTCGTACGATGCAAAAGTCGAAAAAATAAACGAAATGTTTCTGCGAGGGCCGTACCAGAGATCGGTGAGACCATTATACCCTCTCAGCTCAATTATGCTAAGTTGGATCGCCGATGTGGGTTTTTGAGGAAGAATTCGGCCTTGTCTGTCTGGAAATGTGGGTATTCAAGAAGGTGAAGCTCGAGCTATGCTTCAGAATATATTGGATGAGTTTGTTGGACCTTACAGCGACACAGACTCTCAGGACGATGATGAACGAAACAAAGACAATGACGAGGTAGATCCAGAATTGAGAAACGCAGGTGTCCAGCAAATGGCTCGACAACTAGCCGCATTCGAGCAGAAACTCGATATCCTACTTAGCAAGCAGTTTACTATAAATAATTACGTAACAAGGTAAAAATATAGCTTCAAGTTTAGATAAAAGTAATGTTATCCACTCGCAATCACTTGTTGCCCCCCCCCCTTCAGTCACATTCTCATCTGAAGTCCTATCGGGCGCGATGTACTTTCGCTCGCGCATCTAGCAAATCTTTGAATTTAGCGTACAGTTTGGAGATGCGCTTCTTCTCCGCTCGCTTTGGGTCGAAAAACAAAGTTGCTGCCAACGGAGGCTCGCGTTGAGTCTTGCCCACAGTTTGACTGCTTCTGCGTCTTGAGTTACCATGATCCGACGCTGGCTTTGGAGATGGCCCCGCAGTGGTGACAACCCTATCTGATCCAGTAATTGGAGCTGCTGTAGTAGCGAGTACAGATGCACAAAAAGCAGCACGCTGAAGCTTCTGTCGAAAATGCTGTCGTCTCTTTACTGGGTCGGTCAAGGGGGAATTAGCCACGTACACGTTAACGCGTTCAATGTGCAGAATGGCGCGACCTTGACACTGGACGCGAACAAATCTGCCTCGAGACTTTTGTGGGGCGATAAACTCGATCAATGGTCCAATATTGTCGGGGACACACAGGGAACTCACAGAACCTGCGACGATATCGTCACAGTTGCGACCTACTCCACTTTTCATCGAGATACAAATGTGCAGAGGATAAGACCTAGTAGTTCGTCGACTAGGGTTTCCTCTGGCTGCAGCATACAAATGACTCACCTCGTCTCGAACATAAACATTGACAGAATGAACTTCGACGTAATTGGCGAGGTCGATCTCCCACCACGGCTGGAATTCCTCCTTTGTATGAGCAGAACGGTTCGTGTCGGGGTCCAACGCGTTCTGTGCTTTCATACTGCAGATAGTGGAAGATTGACGAACGCGTTTGTTGATAGCGATATCCGCCAGGCTGCTGTCGGTAATACTGCGCACTGGTGGCTGTTGGTGCCAGCGGTAGAATATGGAATCGTGGATCATCCGAGTGATTTCCGCGTCTTTGTCTTCTTTATTGCTATCATCGAATCCTATTGTTTTGTCTTCTGGAGTTTTTATGACCTGTCTGTTTTCATCTTGTGCCAAGATTTCTTGGCACTGGAGACAAACGTTTGCTGTTCCGTATAAGACTGAGGGATTATTAATCTTGTTGGAGTTCTGAAGGACCCCCCATCTGCGACGGATATCGCAAACCCGCTTCATGACGACTACCCCAGACAGACTGGAGCGCGTGAATCTTCGCTCGCAGAGAGCACAAGGTGCTCGCCACATTTTTGAATGGTCGGCTGAACTCGACTCGCTACGATCAAGTGGCTTGGTGGTCTTCCTGGAAGGCAAATAGCTAGGCGATGATGAAGGTCGCGGTCTAGACCGCCGAGTGGTGTAATCCAGGTGTCTGCACAGAGCTAAATCAATATCTCGTTGGTTTCCTGCTGCTGGAGGATCCATTGCCTTTTCAAAGTGTAGTAACTTGCTTCCATAGCTCATCGTCACCCAGCCACAGCCTTGAGGTGTTGCACTTGATGGATGAGTTTTCATTTGTTCAGCAGTCGATGCGGTTGTTGCGGATTTCGCTCGTGTAAGAGACTTTGTCTTGATTCCTGTCTCTGCTGTGACCATACGACGCTCCATGGAGCTGTTGGTGGTGGGCTTCGTTCCTCGCTCTAGAGGCTTGTTGGATGCTTTATTTCCCATATCGTTTAACAAATCTGACGCTGGAGCATCAAACTTTGCACACAAAATTGCCTGATCGACGTTCGTTACGAACGTCGATCAGGGATGCCGAATATTGCATTTTTATCTATTGCTAATCAAAGCAGAAAATAAATAATTGGGTTAGAGAGCTGACTAGACCAAAATAGATTATTGAACTTCCTCAGATCAAAAAATAGATTATTGGTGCAGCAAAATTGGTACACAGCGAGGGCACCAGTATCAAAGAATGTATGGCCAATTAAACACCGCCCAATAGACTATTGGTGCTACAACGGGAGCGAAAATAAATAATTGATCTTCCTCTCCAGAAAGTCTCCAATAGATAATTGGTGCTTTCTTATTGCAATAATTGCAGCACCAATTTATTTTTCGGCATCCCTGCGTTCGTAGCGATTACTTCGACGAGAAAAGGAGACACGTAGTTACTCTCTTCTTCCTCAACAATAGTATCGATAAATCGCTGTTCTTGATTAAATACTGGGCCCATTTCTTGGATACTTAACAGCTTAGCATCCAAGCACTTGCCAACCGCTGCAAATGACCCCATCGTTCAGAATCGAGATCGACAGCCGCCTAATAACCTTTTCTTTTCATCTAGAGCTTCAGTGAGATGAATCTGATGCTTTAGCTGAATCTCATGGGCAAAGTGGGTAAAAGATACCTCCTGCTGCTGGGACGATATCGATGATATAGGTGGCATTCGCAGCTTAAGTAGGTGCTCACAGTAATAGATCGCTATCTCTG